CCTCCATTAGATCAACCAATGTTGGCTGTAAAACTCTAGGAAGCCTGCCATCCTGGGAGCCATCCAGGAGACTGTGTACACACTTCTTCGCGGGCATCTCCCCTTTTTGGATGCATTGCCATGGCAAAAAGTGGCCGTTACCCCAATGAAGTCTGGCCCCTCCTGACTCACACAGATCAGTCAGGAAACCGCTCAGCATAGATACAGGACTTTCTGTGGCATCAGATGACACTGGGATGGGGCCACTCTGTGGGCTGATATCTTCCAGACTGGACAAGAGAAAGGGAAGCTGGAGGCTCCTATTATTCCCTTATCCCTTTATTTTCCCATGTTTGTTCCTCTCCAAACCCCCTTGATTCCTCCTTTTCCCCACCTCCCCTAAATATGCCATAGTAAGTCCTGTGAATCCTCAAGTGCTCTTCCCCTGTGTCCTACGATGTGTCTCATACCCCCGGCCAGTAACCCCCCCTCAGTCTGTAAGGCAATCCAGAGACAGCGTGCCATTTTTTGTCCCAGTTTGTCCCAGCTTTCCTGGCATGCACCAGGGATCACATACACACATGGACAGCATTAAGTTATGTGATAAAAGGCTTTTCTGCACACTCACAAGGAAGGAGCACAGAGGTGCAATGGCAGGTGGGGGAACCAGAATAACACCCCTGAGGGCCTTTATCTCTTACAATAAGCACAACGTCAACTGACTTTCGGGGATGGTGAGACTGAACCCAAAACAACTGCAGTCAAACATGCTGGCCTAGGAGAATCTGCATTGCCCACTATCACAGTGAAGAGTTTACCAACTATTACAGGAGGAGGTATGGCAGCTTAGGGGCTGTTTCTCACACAAGTTGGGAGAAACAGCCCATTTTTCATTCTGGAATTGGCCTACTATTGTCAGTAAGAGATCGTTTCACCCACAGCTTGGGTGAATGCAGAGCACAATGTGTTTCAATTGCCTGTTTGGGAGCACATTGCTCCTATCTTTCAGATTTCCCGCTTAAGCAACTGCTTTTGTTACATCTTCATCAGTATATTCAATAATAAGCTAAATGTGATTGGAAATTGTGGCTGGACGTTTTTATTCCAGGCAGCATCTCAGAATCCCTTTACATTCGGCTCCCTCTTGTGCTTATTTCATCCTCCTGCTGACTTCTCTCTTCCCATGTTTTTCCACAACCTTTTGTTAGCAGGATGCTATTGCATCAAGCCATCTAATCCATGGTGCTCAGGTGGAACTTAAATTAAACGAAATGTGCTTGCCCATCTCTAGCAGAAATATCACTCCTTAGAGGAATAAATTGTGAGCTAAATGAAAGCAGACAGAGCAGCTTCCAGGAAGAGTTGGCATCAAACCGTGAATCTGATAATTGGGTTCTGAAAAAGGAACGGCTATCAGGGGAGGCCCAGCATCTGCCTGAGAGCAATTATTACCAGACCACAAGTGGGTAGGATGGAGATACTCCCCTCCCTACTTCCCTCCTGCTTTCCTACTGTGGCACTGTGCAATGCAGAACCTGTGATAAAGAGGACAGCGTGGGGGTGAGAGAGAAGTGCAGAAGTCGGGAGAGACAGACCACTCCAAGAAGGACTGAGAATCGAAGCGAAGGGGAGGACATGTGATATCTCTGTGAGAGGCTGCATGGCACAAGTCAGTCCAGACTTGCAAGCTCCGTCCAATTTCCTTCCAAGCTCCTAGTAAAAGCGGTTCGGCGGGAGCAACAGGCAGGAGGACTGTCCTGATATGTAAGCCTTTAAGATGAGATGAATCCACTCTACTGACTAGAGTCACTAAATCTCATTGAGTAGAAAGGAGTTTAAAGGGGCTAGCTCAGATGTAGCTGTTTATATTTTGCCAGATTAATCTCATTCTTAGTGGCCCAGAGCCTTTTAACTTGTAGACTAAATACAGTTTTCAGGGACACTATTACAACATTATGTGGTTTCACCAGTGCTCCTTAGAGCAGAATTTGGTCTCCTAAACCAATGAGTAAGTTTTGTTCTTGTCTCTTTTTGATGCTGGGAATGCTTAATGAAGCATATTCTATTTGTTTGGTTCCCTGATGAGTAATTATAAGAACATTTTTAAGCACACTGTTTCTATAGGCTGCTGCAGACACGTCTAGTCACCTTTTAAAACACACACTTCTGTGAAAATTGAGCAGCTGGGTAGATTTTTACATGTTTGCTGTACCTGTTGTTGGAGCCAGTCTCTGACACGGATGAAATAACATTGGGATATTATTTAGTTCAGCAACAAGCATACACAAAAGCTTAAGAAATTACTCAGAACGGTAACTTAGATTCTGTATTAAAATGGAAAGTTTATGAAGAATTATGCCAGTTAAAGCTGGTATAAAGCACCTGCTAACATGACTCAGGTCACACCAAGTCACAGAAGCTGGTTCTGTTCTTCTTAGGATACTGTTAGGCATGAAGTGACAGAAAGAAATTGGACATTTGTGTTTGTAGCATTGACTCAGCATTGTGACTGTGGCTGCTCTCCGTGGATGACTGGGGTCCTCCAAAACTCCACCTTATCCTGCCTGCCACACACAGCCTCTCCCAAATCCTCGGTGCAGGTGTCCCAAGGTCTCCTTTCTCCTCTCCATACCAGGTAAGGGTGCTCTCCAGCCCACACAAAGGGCAGTGTAGGAAGCTCTTGTTCACCTTCCCAGTGTGACCCAAGGTTTGGTGAGATGAGCTTCACTGCAGGTGTGGGTTCACACTATGAGTAGCAAAGAGCTGTACTTTGCTGTGATGGGAGTGAACAAGAGCACCACAAAGTGTCACCGTACAGGTTTGAGGGTGACTCACTAGAAAAGGAAAGACTTGTTAGTGTCTGCGTTACCGATGGAAAAGTAAAACATCTTAACTTCTGCATCAGACAGATGGAGACAGTCCAGTGTGGTGTTTCATCCTGACCAGTGAGTGATATAAATCCTAATTTTCCTTTGAAGCTTTTAAAGGTAGCTGATGGGTAAAGAATCACTTCTTTTGTTCCAAAGGCAGAAGAACAGCCCCAAACTGGCACTTAGCCCTCACTCAAAAAGACCAGGGTTAGATGACTCACATATCTTGCAATTAGACATTACATCTTGTGAGCTCAAAGCCCGGAAAGCACTGTTATGGCAGGCATGCCATGACAGAGTGGAGGCACCTCTGCAGGAAATCAGCCGTAATGCAACGTATCTGCCGGCACACACACCTCTGGGCATGATCACACATGACAGCAGCAAGAATTTGCATAGAGTTTATTGCTGTTGCTATAGCCCAGATTAAATACTTGAACACATGAGGTTGTACAAGGTATGAAATGTAATCACCTACAAAGTCCAAAGGAAACCAACACAGCAGCAACCATGACTGCCTGTAAGGCAAGGTTTACATTATTTCATATGTTTATCAGGGAACTGAAATTGTCTGAAAAAAGGCAGGGAACCAAATTTGCGAATCATAGATTTCTAGGCCTTCAGTGATGGTCTCTCTACTCAAAGCTGAAGCTGAAGAACTGTACACAGAGTAAAAACAGTGAGAGACAACAAGAGAGAAGGGAGGCAGGGAGATTTATTTTCTCATCCTCTCTGAGACACTTTCAAGACTCTGTGTGGACAAGCAGCAGGAGGAGATCACTCTGCAAGAGGATCCAACCTCATACTAGTTATGGTATGGGAGAACATGCACTTTGAAGGGTCTTTGATTGCGCTAGCATGCCTACCCTTTTGCACTTCCTTCAGGATTTCTGTGCTCTACAGCCATTGCCATACTCTGCCGCTAGACTATTCATTTTAAGGTAAGAGTTATCTTGCCCTGACCCTCTGCTTGCTTTTATTTCAGGCTCCAGTTAGGGCTGCAATCACAATACTCTTCTAAACTTGAAGGGGCATTGCAGAAGCCAAGATTCCTCAGTCAGTGGTACTTGCCCTGTCTTGCACTTGTGCCTGACGCTGTTCCCATCACAGTGATACGGTGTTGGCCATTAATGACGTATCGTCTGTCCCGCCTGCCTTGGCATTGAGTGGGCACAAGAAGGAAGAAGAAAATGCACCTGTGGCTTTGCAGATTGCTTGCAGGTGCGCCTGTCCTAAACGTGGTGCTCCCCAGGCTAATGCACTTTCCCTTAGCATCCTCCCTCATACCTGCACAAACACAATGGGTACGAATCCATACAGACACCCTGCCCTAAACACACATAAAGATTCCCATGCATTCCTGTACTTAAACGCCACACTTGCACATTTGCCTATGTACTGAGACAGTCACAAACCTGAGTCCAGCTGGAATATACCGGTATATGTTCATATGGCCCTGCTCACGGGAGTAACCTTCAGCTTCTACACTTAAGTGCTACAATATCCTTTGTGTGACCACCGCTTTTGCGGAAATCCATGGAGCCAAGACATAACCACATTGCTGTCTGCTCTTTTCACAGTTTCCTTGTTGTGACCCAGGAAAGAAATGGACCCTCACTTCTCAGGTATCGCAAGCAGAGCCTGGTATCAGGCTGGTGCCATTTTCTAGCACATAATGCTTTTGGCAAACCCAGGTGAGGAATCTTGTTCATGGTAGATGGGCTCCTGAAGAGCCCTGGAAAAACCCTTGGACTGAAGAAGAGATATTTTCTGAGAGACACAGGAAATTCTCAGCCCTTTGATGATACCAGTCAATCACCACAGTGGTCATCAAACAGACAATGTAAGTGTGAAGACTTAAGTGCTCGGCTTTTTTTTATGGCATCCAAACACCATCCATCCAGCACATTCCCACCTCTTTTTTCTGCAGGCATCCCCAGCTGCTAGCTGGCATGTTGTGCACCCCCAGGGATTGCAAGTCATTAAAGTCATTTTAGAAGTGGGACGTGACACCTTTGTTGGGCAAAAGAGTCATTTGCCACCATCTTTCCCTTTTAAATGGCATCCATAAAGCCACACAGACAGGAGAGTCTGGTAAGACACAGATTTGGAGCCACCTACCAGAAGTGGTTAGAAAAGTAGAGGGGACATTTAGCTATAGAATACAGGTTTACGAAGTACACGCACCACATTGTATGTGTTCAGCCCTGGTGCATCAAAGCCAGGAGACAAACCCTTGCGATCGAATGGGTAAAAGTTAAAGAGCTGCCCGTTTTGGGTCTCCAGTGAGATGGAGGCAGAGCCCAGGTGCAGAACACATGGGAACTCCTTGTCAAAAACGACTTGGAAAACACGATCCTCCAGGTGGTGGAGCTTGATTGTCCGGTACTTTTCAGGAATCAGCTCTTCCACGTGAGGCCCAAACTGCTGCATGACCAGCACCCCACCAGGTCCAACTTTGATCTCATAGAAAGTCAGGTTGGAATAGGTATAGTAGCCAACATAAGGGCCTGGACTTGGAGCAGGTATCAAGCTTTTCTCTGCCTCTCTGAACGCCGTCTCCATGGCAGGAATAAGATACTCATATGTCTGAGTCACAATATCTCCACCCTGAGGCCTGGGCCCCGCCATCAGCACAATGAAGCTCAGGCGGAGCTCGGGGATAAGAGAGAAGGTAGCTGAATAACCGTCGAGGTCTCCGTCTTTCCTAATGACATCATATCCCAATTGCTCGTTAATCTCCCAGGGTGTGCCGGTCTTGTTAGCAAAGTATTCAGTGGAGCACTTAAACAGAGGGGTCAGCATCGTCTTCACTGTGTCAGGCTCTAGGAGACGACGGTGGTAGGTGCCTAAGAAGACCATTGCCAGCTTGGCAAGGTCGGCAGCTGTGGAGTACATCTGGCCAGAAGGCCTGTACCAGCCGAGGTCATAGAGAGGGGCTGGCTGCAAACCCACGGCCATCTGGGAGCGGATGGGTGGCGTGATGTCGAAGCCAGTGTCCTCCATGCCCAAGCGGTCCAGGATGTTCTCCGAGATCCAGCGCTGGTATTGCCCCTCAGCTGCATGGTCGGCTAGCACGTGTGCCATCAGTGAGAAGGCCAAATTGCTGTAGTGGCATCTGAAAAGGAAGAGGAATATGTCTGGATCAGCCTTACCTCAGTGATACGGCGTGGGCATGACTATGCAAAAACAGTGGCTAGGTCTCTCTTCTCTGGGGAAAAAATCTCATTTTATCAGATGACATGCTAAAGAGAGAGGAGAGATGAAGGAGGGACAGAGAAAAACTGAATGTTGTGCCTTGATTTGTTGTTAAGTCAAGAAAGAGAAATCTCTTACGGGAACATCAGCAGAGCTATTTAACTGCTATGTACAGAAAGAGAGCTGGAGATGGAAAACCAAAAAAAAAAAAAAACTTTATGCAAAAGCCTATATATTTGCATATTCTGACTTAGTGTTTATAATTGTTCACCAAAGAATATCTCCATTCTTTTTAAAAGCTGAGTTGAGAGTTACAGGTGCTTACCTTAAAGGTCTCAAAATCCCAGGTAAAAGCCTCTTTGGAGATTTAACATGGTATAATCACTTAAGCACCTAAGCTACCTTAAGACAGTAAAAGCACTTAAAAAGCGCTTAAAAGTCTACAAAGCAGCAGTGTTGAGTCATTAAAGACACCTGAGTGCTTCAGTCTTCAATATCCATAAAGTGATTCAAGTCTTTATACTTGAATGAAGTTTAATGACATGAAGACATGAATGGGCAACCTTTTTTCGAACACATTTTCAAAATTCACGATGTTTCAACCTTGCTCGTTTTATTTTTTTTTTAATTGTGTGAAGCCACACATCTCACTGAGGCCTATTTAGATCATAAATTTGGTACCACATCAACAATTTCCAACCCAGCTGAATAAAAGCATGATGAGCATATATATTTCTACCCCAAGAATAAATACATTCTGGATCTAAAATTTTATATCTGAAATGGAGCTGAATTTCAACATACCCAGAAAAATATGTTAAAATTTCTGTATCAATGAATGGAAATTTCCTTTACAAAAAT